TATAGGAAAAAACAGTGTGTGTGTGTGTGTGTGTGTGTGTGTGTGTATGTGTGTGTAGTTTTGTACTGTCTGTGGTTTTCAACCATCCACTGGGAACGTTGGAACATGCTCCCCACAGATAAAAGCCTAATGCAGCACCAGAATCTCAGTTTCTAGAGGTAGAAGAGGGGGAAATCAAAGTGTTGAAGTAGTTTTGATCTGTCAGTTCCAGCATCAGTGGGGACCAATTTCTCTGTTCTCAGCTCCTCCCCCATTCCAAACCCACTCAGGAAAAGAATACTGGTCTACGATTCTAATAAGAATGGATCCAATTTAGATCAGCTTACCTTTTAGCAGCTGACAATTGTATGTGCTCAGGTTCCCAACTGACCGCAGGTATAACCAATCTCCTTTTGGGCTGTAGCTCTTATTTACAACTTCAAATAACTCATAGGGCGGTATCAAGACTTTCTTCTTGAGGGAGAGCTGTTGCACAGGGGCACCCAGGCAAGTATATATGGTGAATAGTGTTTGGTTTCCAAACTTCTGCATCTCTTCTCTTAGCTGGGAGGTGAAGAGGAATTGGCCAAATCGAATGGTAGCACCGATGTTGGCTTTAAAGTGGGCATCCTGAATCCCATGGTGTACCTCATAGCATAGAGTACCATTCTTGGTGGCTTTCCTTAGCAGCTGGATTGCTGATGTGAGATAGTAGTGTAAGTACTTGAAGTGGAATGATTGTTTGTACTGCTTGGGAGACCGTGCAGCACTGGCCATTGCCTTAGAAAAGTCAGAGCGCACACTGTGATCGAAGGTGTAGACCAAGACAGTCACAGCATGCATAGTGGTCATGTCTTTGGGGAGGGTTTTCACTTGGCTCAGCCAGGTTAAGTGGTTTTTTTGCCATACCCTGGAGTAATTCTTATGGGCGTCTATTTCCTTTGTGAAATAGTCTCCTTGACTTAGCTCCTCCATGACCTGTTTGCTACAGCTTTGGTACTGATCATCAAAGGAATCCGGTGTCAAGTCCAAGTCAATTTTAAGCGCAACCTATAAGAAAAAGAAATCTTGATATGAGTTATTCAAATCAGATGGAAATGTGGTGGCAGAGTCTCTGTGTTCTACAGAGCCCAGCCTTCTCCAAACCAGAGTTTGCTGAAGTGAGTTGATTCAGAATGGTCTTGCTGAGTCCAGCGTAATGACTTCCACATCATTCACACCTGGGCTAGAGACTGCGTTTCTTCGTAGATAGTGCCCAAAGATAAACTTATCCCCTAAAAAAGTGTTCCGTATCACTGAAATGACAGTATTTTTGCATATTGAATATGTGAAAGAAATGAAATATTGAAGAACTCTTGACAACCGGTCACTATTGGTAAAGGGACAGTTGGTTTTCTTTC